GGTGGTGCAGAATTAGGACCTCGGCTCCCAGGTAGTCTCCAGAGACCACGAGGAAGATAAACAGGTTGCTTACCTGTAACTGATGATCTTCGAGTGGTCATCTGTGCATTCACACCACCCGCCCTCCTTCTCCTCTGCTTTCGGTCCTTTCATTTTACTTTGTGACTGAGGGCAGCAGCAGGAACTGGCGGGATCCTTGTGCCCTCCCCCTAGTCATGCGCAGTGGAGCCCGGCACGTGACTGGGGAGCGGGCACAAAAAATTCCTTTTGCTTTCCAAAATACCGATCAGGGTTGGCGCAGGTGCACTATAACCCCAGAGGTGTGAATGCACAGATGACCACTCAAAGATAATCAGTTACAGGTAAGCAACCTGTTTTTTGGGGGAAGGAACTGTGATTCAGTGGTGGAACACGTTTTGCGTGTAGAAGATCCCAGGTTCAGTCTCTGACATCTCCAGTTACGGGATCTCAAGGGGGGGGGGCTTTCCTTGCCTGGGATCCTGGAGAGGTGAAACTGAGCTAGATGGGCTAGTGCATCTTATGCGATACATGATATGATCATTTAATTTTTATAAGTAGGGAATGCTTCATGCATACAATGTGTGCCTGCCTCTTTAAAATGGTAAAAACTACTGATATGCTTGCCATCTCAGTCCTCCAGAATTTCTTCAGGGAACTGAATGTTTTAGCTCTTGTGGTAATAAATGGTTAAGCACATGTTCATGTTTAGTTATGTGAATAGACAGTGAATAGACAGTCCAATTAACTTATTCTACTAAAAGGAAAATACTCAACAACGCTTGTTTTTAATTTATCAGTTTTATGCTTGTAGGAGAACCTTTTGCTGGAAAGACCAAAGTTTTGCATGTATTAGCAGATACACTTACACTCATGAATCTACGTGGGTATGGGGAAGAAGAAAAAGTCACATATAGAACTGTGAATCCAAAAGCTATTACTATGGGTCAACTTTTTGGACGATTTGATCCAGTATCTCATGAGGTGATGTATTTAATACATGATTATTTGCACACACAAAAATCCTTACAGTGATTAAAACCATATGAACCTCAAAAAACCTCAAAAAACTGAATGTATTGGGAAGAAGGGTTATGCTTAGTAAGCATTAAGTATTTTATTCATTAATTAATAACTAACATAAGTAAGCAGTATTTTATTAATTAATAATTAAAATATTTTTAGATCGTTTTTCCTGGTGAAAATGCTGAGTGTCAAAAATGTATATGTTACTAACCATAAAACTACTGAGTTAAAACAACTATATACTAGTTAATGATAGTTTATCAGCCACACTTATCTCTCACCTGAACAGTCTAATACCAGGATAACACAGAGCTCAACAAAAAGGGGCCTCAGCTAAAAGCTCTTTAAAAAGTTACAAACTTAACAGAAATAGTTTTAACTCCATCAGAAGCTTATTCTAGAGCAGTAGGGTAACCACCTAAAAGCCATGTTAGTAAAGGTAAAGGTTCCCTTGCTCGAAAGCCAGTCAAATCCGACTCTAGGGTTGCGGTGCTCATCTCCGTTTCAAAGCCGAAGAGCCAGCGCTGTCCGAAGACGTTTCTGTGGTCATGTGGCCGGCATGACTAAACACCAAGGTGCACAGAACGCTGTTACCTTCCCACCGAAGGGGTACCTATTTATCTACTTGCAATTTCTTGCTTTCGAAGAGAAGCGAAGTAGTGCATAAGTTCTGTGTAGCAAGAGCTAGGAAATTCATGTGTGTTCACTATGCTGTAGTGAATGTCCCAAATGCAGAAGATGTACACAATCATAAGGGAATGTGTAATCCTTCTCACCTCTGGCAAATGTCCAAGAAAATGGAGACAGACCAATTAACAGAGTGCCATAATTTCAGTTAATCTCAATAACATTAACTTGTGATTGCTGAGAATTTCCAAAAGGCCCTAAAAAGAGTACTCTTTTCCTTTTCACATATTTCCTGGTCTTAAGAACATAAGAAATGCCCTACTGGAACAAAACAAACATCTATCTTGTCCAGCATCCTATTTTCTACAAAGGCCAGCTGGGGGTCTGATTAAATGAGATGTTAAATACAAGCTGGGTTGGGGTTTCTTTGGGGCAGACATATGGAACCGGCACTGAGACGAACAGCCCACCTCTCACAGCCCACTTCAGCTCACAAAAGCAAGCTGGGTGAAAGGGAGGGAATGACAAAGCCTCTTTTGCAGCTGTTCATGTACTCAGGGGCCTATTTCGCCCCCACACATACATATACTGTTTTGAAGGTGAGTGTGCTCGCACATTAAATGCAAGTTGGGTTGGAGTTTTCCTCAGCGCAGCTTGCGTTTGATGTCTCATCTAACTAGACCCCAGGAAGGGAAAGAAAACCATAGTCCTCCCTTGCTGTTGCCTTCCAACAGTTGGTCTTCATTGGTTTAATACCACTTAATCTTGAGTTTCCACTTGGTCTTAATGGCTAACAGTCATCGATAGATACCTATGTTTGTTTGCAAGACAGGTATGCGGTGCACAATCTCAGGTTTAAATTGCTGCAAGCCAATAAATCTGTCCATTTTGCTCCCCCCCACTTGGAAGCAGGGTGAGAGAATTCCTTGAGTGAATTTATATTTTGCAAGCTACCTTGGATTCTGTGCATATTGAGACAAAAAGGGGGGGGAGAGAAAAGGGGGGAGAAAAAACGTCAGTCCAGGAGGACCAGGTAACCAAGAAGACTGAAACAAGGCCTAATAACAAAACAAATAATAATGGGTTTACATATGTAAAAAATAGCACAACTTTAATTCATATTACATAGTAAAAAAATTCTTTAAAACCAGACACATTTTGGCCTAACTAACAGCCTTCCTCAATGGTACAGATAAATTAAATACACACCGTAAAGTATGGTCAATCCCATAAAATACATCCGTTCTGCCCTGAACCTAAAAAACACTTCACAAGAAGTAAGGACAATATGGAGGAGGAGATTGGATTTATACTCCGCTCTTCACTTGGAGTCTCAGAGCAGCTTACAAACTCCTTTCTCTTCCCCTCCCCACAACAGACACCCTGTGAGGTAGGTGGGGCTGAGAGAACTCTGACATAAACTACCCTTTTTCAAGGACAGCTGTGCCAGAGCTTGTGACTGACCCAAGGTCACATCAGCAGGTACAAGTGGAGGAGTGGGGAATCAAACCCGGTTCTCCCAGATTAGAGTACACACACTTAACCACTACACCAAACTACACCAATATGGTAATTAAGTAAGTCCCTCTTCATTTTTGTGATGCATCAGGACCATCAAGTCATTTTTAAATTGAAGGTATTTCTGGTCCTAAGGTCTGTATACTCAAGGTCAGAGTAACTCATAACTTTACGGCATGTATTTATGGTATGTATGTGTCCACATACAGGAAGCAACTGTCTAGGATTTTTTAAAATTTGTGCATATATATACACAGTATTCTTCTAGTTGTTTTACCTGTTTTAGGTAACTATTTTTCTAAACATTTTACCTGTTTCAGTTACTGGAACAGATAACCACTTCAAATGAACTGCAGGAAAAAAATCCCATTGAATGTTTGCTGAAAATTTAAAATCTTTTTCTGCTTCATTTTAGTGGACAGATGGCATTGTTGCCAACACTTTTCGAGAATTTGCTTTAGCTGACACACCTGACCGTAAGTGGGTTGTTTTTGATGGTCCTATTGATACCCTGTGGATAGAAAGCATGAACACTGTGTTGGATGACAACAAAAAGGTAATGCTGTCTGAATCACTGCCTAATGACTCCCATGCAAATAGTGAATCTGTGTAACAGTGCAGCTATCATTTAGGGCTTTGTAAACATGGAAAAAACAAAATGATTTAAAAGGAAAGGGGTAAAACTCTCTCTCTAGCTTTGTCATGACATCTGCACAATCACAGATGTTAAAAAAAAACCTTAGCAGGAATTTGGCCAGGTTGCTATGGCACCTGCAGTGCACATCATGGCACCATCCTGGAGATTAGATGTGGGACTTTGGAGGCAGCTAGGACCAGGACACAATGTTAGAAAATGAGACAAGCAACAGAGAGTGGTGGGGGATGAGTGGCAGAGGCAATGACAAGTACGGTAAGGGAAGGTGGTGATGATTAGGAGGAGGGAAGAATAGCGGGAATCACATATGAGTTGTCACAGATTTCCCTCTCCTAGATGACTGAAAGCAATTATATGTTTGTTCAAGGAACTTAACCTGATGTCAGAAATAAAAAATACCGAAACCACTATACCTTCATGGACCCTAGGTTTAAGATGGTGGAGAGTTGAGATAACCAGGAGAACCTTATTCTCAACCTGATAGAAACTGGGTATTAGTAACTAGGGATGGGCAAAAACCTGCCCATGACCCTTAGTTTCATGCTAAAATCGCCCATGTCGTGGTTCACGAACTGAGGTTTATGTGATCTCACCTCAATGACCCTCCACGAGGTTTTCAGAGGTCTGTATGGCTCATTGGGGGGGGAGCAAGAGGGATCGCTGAAATGGCTTGCATTCTATTTTAGCCTAACAACAGACGGGTGCACCAGGCCATTAAATCCATCCATTTCATTCCTCCCACGGCCATTTAACCCTTTCTGGGCAATCCCCACCTTTTTCCCGGCCATGGCTTGCAGCAGCTGGGAGAAAGGTGGCCCAAACCGGCTGGTTCTGTTTTGGCATTTGTTGCCCGGTTTGGTTTGGGGTTCAGTTTAGGTACACCCTGGACCAAACTGGAATTTTCTGATTTTTGCCCATCCTTATTAGTAACAGACAAGTGGGAATCTCCCCTCCTTTCCCTGCTTCCTTCTCCCCTTTGGTACTTACCAACTTCCAGGTGGGGCCTGGAGATGTCTTGAAATCACAATAGATCTCCCAACTACAGAGATCAGTTCCTATTAAGGTTACTAGCTCCATGTGGGGAAATTCCTGGAGATTTGGAGATGGAGTTTTGAGAGGAAAAGGTTTGGGGAGCAAAGTAGGGCTGCCAAGTCCCCCCACCCCACCCAAGGCCCGTTCCCCGCCGCCGGCAGATTGGGCCCCAGGGGGAACCCCGCCCCGACGTGCGCGTCACCAGGAAGTGACGTTAGGACACCGAGCACGCTGGGGGCAGAGCCATGACCATCGGAGGGGAAACTCTATGGCACACGCTCCAGTCGCCTCCCCCTGGACCAAACTGGAATTTTCTGATTTTTGCCCATCCTTATTAGTAACAGACAAGTGGGAATCTCCCCTCCTTTCCCTGCTTCCTTCTCCCCTTTGGTACTTACCAACTTCCAGGTGGGGCCTGGAGATGTCCTGAAATCACAATAGATCTCCCAACTACAGAGATCAGTTCCCATTAAGGTTATTAGCTCCATATGGGGAAATTCCTGGAGATTTGGAGATGGAGTCTTGAGAGGAAAAGGTTTGGGGAGCAAAGCAACCTCCAGCCCACCTTCCCCAGGCCCCACCCCCAAATCTCCAGGAATTTCCTAACCTGGAGTTGGCAATCCTATCTCCTTCCCACCCAACAGCCAACCTACCTTCCTCCCCCAGCAGCCTCTTCCTAGAAAAACTGTGACCCAGTTGTGTGGTGCCACAGTTCCCTGCCCCATTCTCTCTTTCTCAGCTATTCACCAACCTACATCTTATCTGCATCACAACTTCAGCTATATTTATTAGTTATTTAATTCATTTATACCCTGTCTTTCTCCACTGTGGGGACCAAAGCAGCGTACAGCAGCGTCCTCTCCTCCTTTTTATCTGCACAATAACCCTGTGATATAGATTAAGCTGAAAGTATGTGACTGGTTCAAAATCACCCAATGAGCTTCTGCAGCAAGATGGGGCTTTGAACCTGGGTCTCCCCTGATGCTCTAACCACTATACCACACTGGCTTTCATAGGATGGCTGCTGTTGAATAATAGGTAGCCAGGCCTAGTTGAGTCATGCGAGTCAGGTGGTATGAAGTCACCCAAAGGATGCTGCTGGGCCTATTGTTTCCAACCTTCTGGTGGAATCTGGAGATCCCCAGAATTACAACTGAACTCCAGACGGCAATCTGTCCACCTGGAGAAAATGGCTGATTTGAATGGTGGACTCTGTGGCATTGTATTCAGCTGAGGCTTCTCCCTTCCCCAAACCCTGCCCTCAGCCTCTACCACTAAATCTTCAGGAATTTCCAAACCTGAAGCTGGCAACTCTTATTAGGTCTGGCCCAAAATGGGCCTAGAAAAAGGGTGGTGCGTCCTCCCACTGCCTTTTACTGACAGAACCAAGCCTGGAATACTGTGGCTGCCTAGCAACAGCCACTGAGGGAATCTGTTTTTTAAAGCTACAGGTACTCCTTTAATCATTTTGGGGAGGTTTTAAACTTCCAGTGTATTTTTTTACATTTAACTTTTTCTCTCTCTTTTTTTTGCAAATCTGGGGCCCTTTTTAGGTTTGTAGAAAGATCTTTCTTGCCCATTCATATCCAAAGTACCCAAAGTATCCAAAGATTTGGTGACTTGGCTGTTAGAATATGAGATTATTTGTTATACAATAACTGTCCTATGTATGCATGTCGGAAGCTTCCAGTACTAGCCACTGTTGGAGTACTAGCCACTGTTTCTAGTACTGTAGGTCCAATATTCTGTTCTTATACTTCTATTTATGGAATACATTTAAAATAGAGCAGAAGAAGTGTGACAGATTTGTGATATTATGTTTAAGTGTGATAAATTTTTCTTTAAGCTTTGTTTGATGAGTGGAGAAATCATTCAAATGTCACCACAGATGAGTCTCATCTTTGAAGCAATGGATTTGTCTCAGGCTTCGGTAGGTTAAAACTTCATTTAAATAGTTGACTGAAGTAGGAAATATTATGAGATTTAAAAAATATCTGTATTATTCTGCTATAGCCAGCTACGGTCAGTCGTTGTGGCATGATATACTTGGAACCTTTACAGCTTGGTTGGATGCCACTTGTAACATCTTGGTTGAATACGCTGCCTGAACCCCTGGACCAAAAGGAGTACCAAGAACTTCTGCAAGAACTTTTCACCTGGTTAGCACCACCTGCATTAAGACTTCGCCAAAAAAAATGCAAGGTAGTTTGGGCTGCATTCTCCTCAAAACAGTGACTTCAGTGTATCTGTTGCAAAGAATTACTGATATTATTGTGGTGTATTCCACACAGGGACAAATATGTGTTGAGATTGCCAGTATGGTTCAGTGGCAATGGAGCTTCCACACAGCAGGTTTCCCCATAGTTCCTCTGCCCCGGTCCCCCACCAGTGGCACTCCACCAGAGTTTTTCTGTTGTTTTAAACTGTCAATTGCATATTGTTATAACATCTGTTTATCAGGTTCTGAATTTCTAGCATTAATTTTTAAATAGTAATTCTGTAGCCCTTTTCAATTCAGAGATATGCCTTTCTGCTTATATCTCTGCAATGAAAAGTACAAGACACTTTTAAAATGAAAGCTGGGAACTCAGAGAACCTGTTAAAGATATTGTTATACCATTACTTTGACATAACAATATGCAGTTGCTGATTTTAAACAAATGAAAAAAGTAGCAGAGGGACAAATGGTCACTGCAGGAACAGGGCCAGGGAAATCTGAATTTTCCAGCCCACACAGTAGCTGTTCACATCTTTGCTATGGTCTTTCCCAAAATTTCACAGCAAAAAAGGTTTGGAAAAGATTGGAGAAAAGCCAGGGAAACCCTAGGAGGTGCACAAATGTACCACAATGTTATTAGTAAGCAAGAGGGAAAAACCCCATCTCCCTGAAGCATTGAACCTCAGGTAAATAACCTGAGTGGAAATGGCCAATATCAGGAAAAAGGAGGTGCACAAATGTACCACAATGTTATCAGTAAGCAAGAGGGAAAAAACCCATCTCCCTGCAGCATTGAACCTCAGGCAAATAACCTGTGTGGAAATGGCCAATATCAGGAAATAATGGTGCCAGCATTTTAATTAGCAATCCATAGCTCAAAACCACATTAGAACCTATCCCAAACCTATCCCAAAATGTTAAACATACTGAGGTAATTAATGCACAGCAGATATGTAACCAATTTGGTGTAGTGGTTAAGTGCGCGGGCTCTAATCTGGGAGAACCGGGTTTGATTCTTCACTCCTCCACTTGCACCTGGCCGGATGACCTTGGGCAAGCCGTAGTTCTGATAAGAGCTGTTCTTGAAAAAGAACAGTTTCTGTCAAGAGTTCTCTAAGCCCCACCTACCTCACAGGGTGCCTGTTGTGGGGAGGGGAAGGGAAAGGAGATTGTAAGCCGCTCTTTGGGTAGTGAAGGGCAGGGTATAAATTCAATCTCCTCCTCCTCTTCTTCTTCTTCTGGGCTACATATGCTAACATATTTATGATTATTTTGTGGTACCATCAAGTCTTCACAGTACAGCTGAAGAAATCAGTGCATATTATAAAGAAAAAGCTTTATTTGTTGAAGTAGTACATAAGTCATTAAGAAGGAGACTATTTTCACTGGGTCAGAAAAAAAGGCAAAAAACATTCTGCACTATAGAATGTTTGAAACATTGGCAGCTAGATTGTATAATAGTTATGAATTGTAGATTACAGCTGTTTACAAGTAAAAATGTATAAAACAATATTTCTTAAATATGTGCCTCATTCTATCATTCACACATTCTATTTTTTATTCTTCCCCTCTGACAGGAACTGGTCCCCACCAGCAACAGCAATACCGTAGTATCTCTTACTCGGCTTTTTGAAATGTTGATTTGTGACATCGTGCAAAAGGATCCTACCAATAAAAACATCCGCAAATGGATTATGGTTTGTCTGATGTTACCTATATCTTTTAATAGTTATGCTTCTCGTGGAACGTTCTCTTGTTTTATGTTAGCTTATTCACAGTGACTGTTCAAAAATATGTAGGTAAACAGGGTTAATTTTAAAACAGCTATAAGCAAATTTTCCAAAGTATTTTAAATTAAAATTTAGTATGACTACTTAATTAGAATAATTGAGTGTTCAGTAGAAGAACTGAGTGTTAAATAGCAAAAAAATATAATAATATAATTAAATAATGACTGTAACTCTCTCTTTCTCTCTCTCTTTTTAATGGAAGGCTTGTTTTGCTTTTTCTATGGTTTGGTCCATTGGTGGAACCTGTGACAGTGATAGCCGGAATTTGTTTGATATCTTTGTGAGGGATATTCTAGCAGGAAGGTTGGAAGACCATCCAGTTCCAGCAGCTGTGGGTAAATGGGAGATTCCATTTGAAGACAGAGGTTTGGTGTATGATTATATGATTGAGGTATATAACCAATTATGGAATAGATATTTGAATAATAAAATGGTAATGAGCAGCTAGAATAACTGTTGAAAGCCATTATGAAGCAATGCTAGTAGAACTTCTCCATCATTATAAATATAAAGCTATAATATAGAACATTGCAATTTCAAAGCTTCCAAAATGAATGTTTTCCAAAGTACATCATACAATAAAAATTCAATATTATCAAAGCACACTCAATAAATTAGCCTTATCAGAAGGTGAATGTGTTTTAATTTCCCAATAAAGGATAATATGTATATGAACAAATTATGTTGATGTATTAAATCAGACCATTCACCTAGCATGTTGTTTTTACTGTGGCTGATTCCATCTGGGGACTTTTCTCTGAATGGAATGCAACATGCATTTTTTGAAAACTCCTACAGTTTTTGAAAACTCTGCACTATGTTGTGCTCATTCTAAGCATGACTCCAGGGCTCCTGGGGCTTTCTCCTTTAAACCAGATTAAAGGAAAACCTCAAAGGAGGAAATGTGGGCTGGCTGCAGAGGGAGTATGCATGTGGATTCTCCTTCTGCAGCTTTTCTGTGGAGCAAGTGGAGCTAGCTCTGTTTTCAAAGCTGAGGACCTAAGCTCTACAAGGCGGAATATAAACTGAAATTAATACATAAATAAAAATAAATAAATAAATAATCCTTCTATTAAGTCCTGTTATATTAAATCCCTTCAACTTGAAATAACAGGAATTGAATTTGGGACCTTCTGCATGCAAAGCATATACTCTGCCATTGAGTTTTATCCCCCTTCTAGAAGATTTGGGTTCAGATGGTTTGGTGAAAATGTGAAAGCCATTATGAAGCTTTGGGCTCCTCATATTGGGAAAAATTTCTTGATACCTTTATTATACCTGCATTCTAAACATTTTCAAAAGGGCATGTAGATTTGATCCATGAATCTCTTTCTCTACAATAAATTCCTGCCACTGTGGCATACCTTTTCTTCCTAAATAAAAAGAATTACATGTTTAAAATTAATAAATTACTAAACTATTACTAATTTTAAGTTAGTTACTTTGAGGTTCAGTTAAATGTGCCAGTACAAAGAAAACCCCTGCTAAAAATATTAAGTTGTGATGAAGAAATTTTGAATATCTTTTGTTAGTGTCATATCTTTCATGAAACTTTTCCTGTATTTCTTTGTAGCTTAAAGGCAAAGGTCGTTGGGTACATTGGAATGAGTTAATTAAGACTATCAATTACAGTGATAAAAATGCTAAGATTCAAGACATTATAGTCCCGACAATGGACACAGTCCGATACACCTATTTAATGGATATGTGCATTAAACATGGAAAGTAAGATAAATTGCTTCCTGTAAAAGTGAGATTAGTTTTATTCTTGATAGGAAGGCTTGTTCGATGCCTGAAGAAATTACAGTTTTTCAGTTGAATTAACATATTGTTACATGCCATTCCTGTACTAAGTTCTAAGCTATAGACTTTGATACGTACTTTTTCTGTGTTAAAGATGGTTTCTTTTTGTTCCCCTTGGTATGTTAAAAAATGTTTTAAATTTCCCTACAAATTACTGGTAATATATTGTTATATTGGATTGTTATAATAAGAACTTGGAATTTTGCTTCTGAGAACTGCATAAAAATGAAATATACAACCACACTGCTATTCCCAACTAAGAGCATTGGATTCATACCCCGGTCCAAATCCATGTATGTAGAACACAAACATGCCTGTCAATTGAGATGTATGTGCATAGCATCCTTTTCACTGAAGCAAACTCTTGTTTCAGCTTACTTGTTTAATAGGCATTTTGTGTACACAATTATTCACATCTACCATGATGCCAACATTTTTGCAGGATGACTGCAGAAGAAGGCAATGGGAAACCACCTCTGCTTAATCATTTGCCTTGAAAAACATGGGGTCACCCAGGGGTCTTTTCGGGCCGGAGCCCTCCGGAGCACCGCTCCGGCAGCCCGCATGGCGGCAAGCCCCGTACTCCTTGCAGCACAGAAAGCGAGCCATTCACTGCTGACAGCACTGGCAATCAGAGGCCACAGAGGAGTGCCGGTCAGCCGCATCACCAGCCGCATCACCATCCCTGACCTCCCCCACCCACCCCTATTCTTGCCCACCTCTCCTCCCCAACCTCTGTCCTTCCCTGGAAAATTTTGGGGATAGCCTCAGCCCCTGAGCACCCCCCCCCCGAAGAATATGCTATGCCAATGTATACAATTTAGGGTTGAAGGACCAAACTAGTAACACATCAAGTTCTTATACAGACATATCTGACCAGTGAAGACTTAATGCTTAATTTCTTAACAGTGATTAAAATATTAGGAGTAACCTTGGGAACAAGTTGTTGGAATGTATGTAGACTCTGTTTTATGCCTAAATTCCTGCAGCCTTTCCTCTGCCTGTTTTAATCATCTCTACCAACCTGAATGATTTTTGATGATAGCTAGATGTGCTTGAGTACCTGCCAGTTTGGGTCATGTTGTAATCATGTGCCATAATCACAAGAGCGAAACATTTGGCGGGCAGTTCCTTCTGCATTCCTCATGGTAACAGCAAAAGGAACTAACATTTCCTGTTTGTATTATTCTATAAATTCTGCCTTGTTAATAGGAAAGTATTTTATCGAATCTATCTTCGCTTACTCTGTCCCTATTCCATAGGATGGACAATGAAGTGTGTGTTCTCACAATTTTTTAAAAAAGTTTTGAGACCTTTGGACATTCACTGTGGTCTCTGCTTGTTCTTATGCCACTGCTGTCACAAAACGGAGATTGCATTAACCATGTTCCCTTCGACTAGAGTTTACAAACCCATTTCAAATCCTAGTTAAATAGGTGCCAATATGACCCTTAAAAGTGGGAAATTGTACTGAAAGGAAGAATGTATAAGGGAGGGATCTTGCCGTCCTGATGCCTGCTTCCAATGTCTTACTCATGATTTAGGAGATGAGAAGCACCAGGTTCTAGTCAGAGCTATAATTTACCTCCTATATAGATCTTGTTCAGAGTATCCAAAAGTGCTGAAACTTATGTACAACTCAAGTTTTATGGGTTACCACCAATGTTATGCAGTTCAGCATGTTGCTGCCTGTATTCACATATCATCACGTTTGGCTTAATATATTGGACTTCTACATCCCTTTTAATGTATATTTCTTTTTGCATGAATAGGTAACTTAAAAAATGAGAGACGTGCTTATACATCACTGCAAAAATGCTACAATTATCTATTTGTAATGTCTGTTTACCTTAGTAATGAGGGATTAATACAAACATATTAATTTCTTTCAAAGGCCATTGCTTCTTGTGGGGCCAACAGGAACCGGGAAATCTGTGTACGTGAAGGACAAGCTAATGAACCATTTAGAGAAGGAATGCTACTTCCCATTCTTTGTTAATTTTTCAGCTCGCACCAGTGCCAATCAGACCCAGGTTGGTAAGAACTTTTGTTGGAATTACTTTGAGTATCTTATTAACTGCAGTGGCAGCAGCTCATATGAGGAGGGAGTAAAGTAGGAACCTTCTTCCCTCCCTGCCACCCTCACAGATTCAGATACTGCTGCCTCTGAGGTGGAGGGTAGGCTTTGGAGGTGCTGACTCTGGAGGAGGCTTCCCCCATCCTTGTCATTATTCAGAGTGTGCACGGACCTCACGGTGACAGCATGCAAGGCAGCATTCTTGGGGTTAGAGATGTGAATTCAGATATTTCTGAAAATATTTGGGAATATCTGGGATTGGCATTTTACCAAGTCTGTTTTTCTTCCCCTTTTCCTGGGCATTAGGAGGGATGGGAGAGAGGGACAGATCTCCCAGGCAACGGGGTCAGATGTTAGGGAGAGCACTAGAACTGCCTGCCCTACTGTGATGATTCTCTCACAGATGGGCCTTTTCCAGAGCCTGTTTTGAGGCACTCACCTCTGCTGTACTGCAAGGTAAATTCACTCAAGTTCCAATGCATGAACGTATATGCCCATGCATGGCTAATATGGTGGAATCAATTACTCATGTCCTCCTGTTCTACAGATTCTATCAGGAGGAACGAGACCATCTTATACTACCTCTTCTGTCTAGATTTAGCCCTCTGCTGAGTCTTATCTTGACTTTAGGCCAGAAGTCCTTCGTAAATTCCTCTTAAAAGACGTTCAGAGCTCAGTGACTTATGATGTGGCAAAATTTTGTTGCTCAGCTATTAGGAAATGTAAACTTATTTTAGCTGGAAAATTGTATGATTCTCTTATTAACATTATTTTATTTTACTAATTTTATTAATTTTCTTTGTTAATGTTTTTATACTATTCCAATATCAGAATTGTACTGTTTTACTGGCTCTTGCTGTAATAAATTAGCTCGAATAGATCAATCGAAGCCTGTTCCACTGAAGACCCACTCTGTCAGGAAATTATTCCTATGTTTAGCCAAAAACTGTTCTGATTTATTTTCAACCCACTAGTTCTGGTCTGACCTTATGGGGCAACAGAAAACAACTCCACCCCATCCTCTATATGACAGCCCTTCAAGTACTTGAAGATGGTTATCATATCACCTCTCAGTTGTCTCCTCTCCAGGCTAAACATACCTGGCTCCTTCAACCTTTCCTCATAGGACTTGGTCTCCAGACCCCTCACTGTCTTCGTTGACCTCGTCTGGACACATTCCAGCTTCTTTGTATCCTTCTTAAATTTTGGTGCCCAAAACTGAACACAGTACTCTAGGTGAGGTCTAATCAAGAGCAGAGTAAAATGGTACCATCACTTTGCGTGATCTGGACACGATACTTCTGTTGATACAGGCTAAAATCACATTTGCCTTTTTAGCTAGGGCATCACACTGCTGACTCATTTTCAGTGTATGGTCTACTAAGACCCCTAGATCCTTTTCACACATACTACTGCCAAGACAAGTCTCCCCCAATCTATAATTATGCATTTGATTTTTCCTACCTAAATGCCGAACTTCTATCCCCAATGAAATTCATTTCATTTGTTTTAGCCCAGTTTTCCAGCCTGTCAAGATCATCCTGTATCCTGACTCTGTCTTCTACCATATTTGCTACCCCTCCCAATTTAGTATGATCTGCAGATTTAATAAGCATTCCCTCTGTTGCTTCATTCAAGTCATTTATAAAGATGTTGAACAAAACAGGTCCCAGGACAGATCCTTGAGGCACTCCAGTTGTCACTCCTCTCCAAGAAGATGAGGAATCATTCACAAGCACTCTTTGGGTGTGATCTGTCAACCAGTTACAGATCCATCTAACTGTCTTAGGACAAGAATATTATGTGGAACCTTATCAAAAGCCTTACTGAAATCAAGATAAACTATGTCTACAGCATTCTCCTGATACAGCAAGTTAGTAACTTTCTTGAAAAAAAGGTTAGTCTGACATGATTTGTTTTTGAGAAACCCATGCTGGCTCTTAGTAATCACAGCCATCCTTTCTAAATGCTCAAGGACTGTCTGATGATTTGTTCTAAAACTTTCCCAGGTATAGATGTCAAGCTGACGGGTCAGTGGTTACCCAGATCCTCCTTTCCCCTCTTCTTGAAGATGGGGACAACATTTGCTCACCTCTAGTCTTCTGGCACCTCATCTGTTCTCCAAGAATTCTCAAAAATAATGGACAGAGGCTCAAAAATTACATCCACAAGTTCTTTTAGTATCCTTGGATGCAGTTTATCTGGCCCTGAGGACTGAGCCTGCTTTGTGGGGAGGGCAAGGTACAAATTAAATAAATAAATAAAAATAATAGTTTCACTTAAAGAAACTAGGTGTTTAAGTACTACCCCATGCTGATCCTAGGCTGCAACTCCCTTCCCTCATAATGTGTTCTGTTTTTACCACGTTGAGCACCGTTTCCCTCGCAAGAGAAGACTGAGGAAGAGTAGGAATTGAGCAGTTCTGCCCTATTACAATTTCACTTTCCAGTCCCCACAATGGGCCTACCATGTCCTTGCTCTTTTTCTTACTTTGAACATAAGAACCCCTTTCTGTTGTATTTAGCATCTCTCACTAGCCTAAGTTCATACTGAGCTGTAGCTTTCCTAACTCTCTCTACAAGCACCAGTTAATTGTTTATATTCATCCTTGGTTATAAGACCCTCCTTCCACTTTCTGAATGAGTCTTTTTATTTCTCAAGTCTTTAGAAAGCTGTTTATGGAGCCACCTTGGCTTCTTTAGGCTTCTCCCATTTTTCCTTCTCATAGGAATCATTTGTGATTGTGCCTTCAGTATTTCGCTTTTAAAAAACTCCCATCCCTCTTGAACTCCCTCCTCCTTAAGTATTTCTGACCATGGGATTCTACTCAGCATAACTTTAAGTTTGTCAAAATTTGCTTTCCTGAAGTCCAACCTATATGTCTGACTACGTACAGCTTTTACCTTCCCCAAGACTGTAAATTCCAAAATTACATGGTCACTACTACCCAGGGTGCCCACTACTTTCACCTCATCAACCAGTTCTTCCCTAGTGGTAAGAATCAAGGCCAAGATAGCAGATCCCCTTGTTTTCCTCTCCACTTTCTGGAAAATGAAGTTGGGAGAGACCCCAGTCATCTCACAACTACCAGTTTGCGAAACCATCCGAAGAATCACTGCCAGGCAGTACTTCTTGGGTGGGGGGAGGCTGCTGCTGGGTGCCCAAGTGACCACCACCAGCCATCCAGGAGGTGAGTCATCCTGCGACCATCTCCAGTGCTGTCCCTGAACGTTCCACAGTAAGGAAAGGACACCAGGCATCTTTGACAGAGATGCTTGGTGAGGTTGGCACTAGGCTGCTGGGGGACAGCAGGCGAGTAAGAGGGTTGCCAATGGCTACCCTTTCTCCTTAGTTGAAGATGCTGCTTTCTGTGGGCTGCTCCAGAATGCCTATCCCTGGTACATGCCCCTTGCTCGTACCACGCTGAGCAGGACCATGTTGCCGTCATTGTACAGGGCTGCCAGGGACCATGTAAAGGCACAGTTGTCCTGGATTCACAGGAGAACTGTGCACTTCAAGTATGACTTATGGACCTCCTGTCAGGTGCACAACACGTATCTGTTGCTGACTGTGCACTGGTGGCGACCCAGCGACTTTGTGGGTGAGGGTGGGGGAAATAGGCAGGGTCAGGGCTGCTGGGCTGGCTATTGCCAGGCTCTGCTCCACACTGGCTGAGAGAGGAGGATCAGGGTGGACACACAACCATTTCCCTCACTTTCTGAGACTTTCCCTGGGGAAATGGTATATAAGGTTTCTCTGGGTTTGCCCTTGGCTTTAGAAGAAGAAGAAGAGGAGGAGAAGAAGAAAACAAAGCATTACTGGGCTTCTGTGTATTGGGCTGGCCTTGCCCACCCTGCACTTTCGAGTGTTCTGTGGGGCTTCTACTGCCCTTGCTACTGGGATTCTTTGGTGTGACGTTGGTTAGTTCTGTTCGGTTTACGCTGCTGCAACATTGGCACTGGGTTGTGGTACTGGGTATTATTGCACTGGTTCTGCTGTCCTTGCAGCCCCCCCCCCCGTTGTGATTCTGTGCTTAACATCAGTCCTGTTGAGCAGGCATTTGCTGCAATGGCACTGGGTTCTGCTGCTGGAAACTAGTACGTTGGCACTGAGTTGTGCTTCTGGGCACTAGTACATTGCACTGGTTCTGCTGTTGTCCTTGCAGAAATTACCCCCCCCCTCAGTTTCTACTTCAGAGATTCTCAAATTTGACTTTAGTCCTGTTGGGTTTTGGCACTGCCATAGTGACACTGGTTCTGCTGGACACATTGTACTGATTCTGCTGCTGAAATTGCAAAGATGCCCCCCCACACACACACTTCACTTTCTAGTTTCTATTGCAGAGATTCTCTGGAAGCTGGGCTTGTATTGCCTTGCTATTTTCCCCCCATTGGAAACAATGGAGGATGAGGGCACCTTCTTTGGGTGCCCATAGAATTGGACCCCCTGGTCCAATCTCTTTGAAACTTGGGGTTTCTTTTGAGGACAGGCTCCAGCAGCTGTGGTGCAAATGTGGTGGCTCTACCTCAACCACCTCTACAGACCACTGAATATAGCCCAGGAGATTTGTCATTAACTTCAATGGTCCTCATAGGCTATAATGGACCCAAATATATTCGGGATTCCCAAATATTTCCCGAATCTGAATATCATACCGATATTGGAATATCTGGAAATATCAATATTTTGGGGTCAAATATACCCAAACCCGAAATAAACTTTTTTTTCCTTGCACATCCCTACTTACTACTGCCCTGGGGCCATGGGGAAGAGAACTGAGGATCCCTGGCATGGCATGCATCTAAGTGGGATGGAATTGCAGGTGGAACTTGAAAGGGCTGGCTGGGTACAATGCTCCACTCCAAGAGGAGGACTGAGACAACAGACTGAGCAGAGGGGGGGGGGAGGCAGGACTAGCCACACCCACACATCTTTCTGTTGAATCTTCACCTGCTGGAAAGCAAAACTGAGATACATGCAGCCATGGCAACTGGGCATGAGTGCCATGCTGGGCTCAGCCACAGATGTGTTGTCCTGACAGGGTCTGTGAATGCAACCCCAATGGGGGGCTTTGCCGCAAGCCCTCCTGGAGGCACATGCTCGTACCATCTGAATTACACTCACCTGTCCCGTGCTGAAGTGCTCAGGGATTACTGGTGATCCATCCACAGTGGCACCTGCTGCTGCTGCTGCTCGAGGCTCTGCACAAACTCAGTGCTGGGCTTGAGTGCAGTAGGTACTGTCACGGCACCCAGTCTCAAACAAGGGGAATTGGGGGAGCTGGTTTGGGATTTTTGCCCTTGCTTAGCTGTCAGTGTGTGGTTGACCCTTTGGGTTGAGCCTCCAAAGGAGGGGTACTAGTTAGGGTTCTGAAATGGGAGAGGTCAGCCACAGAGTATGGACCTTGCTGTCCTCCTTGGGTGTTAGTTCTAAGTGCTCACCCTCTACTGCTAGATGCCCTCTCTGTGTTTTTCCCACCACCAAAGTGCATTGCTGCTTGCTCTAAGTTCACACAGCAGGGAACTCTGAGACAGAGTCCCATGCTGCGTGCCCTAACTACTGAGTTGTAAGGATGTCCTGGCTGAAGTTTTGTAGGGTGAGGGGGCTGCTATTGGATGCTGAGGAGGGGGCTTGGCTGACCAAGGGAGGGAGGTAATTGGCAGAGCCAGTAGTAGGCATCCTGAGGTCCTCTGAGCCTAACTGGTGTGGCTGTAGTGGGGGAGGGGGAGAGACTTGATTTTTTCCAGTTAAATTGGTGCTTATGGGCCATGCCATGTTTTTTGTTAGCTTAATTTTCTGCCTCTGGCAGGGGGCATTTCCAGGCTGAAAGGGCTCAGGGAGCCAACTAACTCTGGCCACACTCTCAAAACTGCCCACAACCATGCTGGCACAGGGGCCTACACCTTGGTTGCACCAACATGCAGCCACTGTGGGCCTCCACTGGCACCCAAGAGTGATGGAGTGGCAGTGGGGGCCTGCGCCATTGTAACTGGCCCTTATGCTGGCTGGCATATCTCGTACATACACTGATGCAAAGGTTAGATGGCTCCCTAGCACTTTCACACACCCCTTAGGATTACGCTGTTAATGCCATGACTGATTGCCTTAAAATGGTGCTTTTATTTCAAAACATGTGATGTTTATTGTTTTGTATGTTGCATGGCCTAGTTTTAATCAATGAGAAAAATGTTCCTCTTTTGTGTTTTAGAACATCATAATGGCCAGGCTGGACAAAAGACGCAAAGGAATATATGGCCCGCCAATGGGTAAAAAGTGTGTCATCTTTGTAGACGATATGAATATGCCTGCATTGGAACAATATGGAGCTCAGCCTCCTATTGAACTTCTACGGCAGTTTTTTGACCATGGGGTTTGGTAAATATTCAAGGTTAAATTCAAGTTAATAATAAAAAAATGTCAAATCCTATCATGAATATTTAGTTTTGAAGCTAAAGCTCTTTTTGGTGTACATTATCAAAAGGAAAGCTTTGGTTTTTCGTTTCCTTATGTGTAGAGCTGAATTTGTAAATGTTGGATAAAATAATTCCAGGCTGATGAGCTTCACAATATCAGTCTCACTTTTTTACCTAGAATAAATTTTATTGATTTTTAAAGTACTCCTTGCAGATCATATGGTAAAATGATTAAAGAAATAAAACAAGGTAGTTAGGTTTTCAGCTTATATGGAATCTCAGTGAGTTCATATAAAGTGTCTATTCATCTATTTATCTCAGCAGAATCAGATTCTATGATATTCTTAAGTGCATAAGTCTGCCTTGTTATGTTTATAATTGTCTGACTGTCATATATATATATATTTGTTTTGAAGGTATGATCTAAAAGACACCAATAAAATTGTACTAGTTGATATACTACTGATAGCTGCCATGGGCCCACCAGGTGGTGGAAGAAATCCAGTCACACCTCGTTTCCTAAGACACTTCAACATCTGCACCATTAATTCGTTTAGTGATGAAACAATGGTCCGAATTTTCTCTACGGTTGTGTCTTTTTACCTCAGAGTCAATGAGTTTGTACCTGAATATTTCACAATTGGAAATCAAATTGTCAGTGGTACTATGGAGGTAAGATGCAAATATCAACATGGCAGTTCTGCTTACATGTTTTTTTTATTACATGTTTTTTTAATTACATTTATATGCTACCTGTCTTCCATCATGGGACTCAGCGATATATGAGTAGGACTCCCGTCCATTTATTAACTAAGCCCATACTTGTTCTGCTTCAGCAAGGTAGTTGTATCATTTACCTCTAGACTATCCTAGGACCTATAAATAATTAGTTTAACTTGTAAATATGGAAAACATAGAACAATTTTATAATGGTTTAGAGAAGCTCTCTTTGCTTCTAGTAGACGTGCAGCTGACTTTTCTATGAGGGCTCTGCAGATCAAACATAATGCGCACAAATGCAATAGAAAGCTTCAAAACAGAATCATTTGGAGGGACTCATAGGAAAAATGGCCTCATGTTATTATTATTATTATTATTATTATTACATGGTATTTTTACCCCGCCCACCCCCGAAGGGCTCTGGGCGGCTTACAGAGTATCATGTGTACACACACTTACTAGAATCCTAACTATGGCCACAAATTCAGGGGGATGGGAACCCTACCAGATACCCTCCGAAGGCTTTTTCCGCAGATGTTCTTGCTTCTCCTTCCGTCTTTTTTCCGGGTGGTCAGATGCCTCTTTTTTCCGGGTGGTCAGATGTTCTTGCTTCTCCTTCCGTCTTTTTTCCGGGTGGTCAGATGCCTCTTTTTTCCGGGTGGTCAGATGTTCTTGCTTCTCCTTCCGTCTTTTTTCCGGGTGGTCAGATGCCTCTTCGCGCAGTTCTTTCTTAGAGGGGGGACTTCAGTTAGCTGGCTTCCACAGCGGCCCCTGCTGGCTCGTCGGGCTTGCTGCACGCAGGCGATGGGGATTACGTCCTTCCGGCTCCAATCTCTCCAATGACGCCGCGCCGCTGCTGACCTCCGACCAGTCGTTGTTCCGGGGGGCCGTCCGTTCGCCGCTGCTTCTGCCGCTGTTTCGCCACCATTGTTATTACCGGTGCCGCTATTTTTCTCTCTGGAGCCACAGTTCTTCTGCTTCTTCTTGTTAACTAGGTGCCCGCTGATCCAAGAGAAAAACCCTATCACCCAGTGACAGAGAAGATTATAAGACTGAAGAAAAAACAACCCAGTCTGCAATTAATTTAGGATAAATACTGGGTTGTACATACTGGATTTCCCCTTCCCCTGATATTTCTCCCTTCTTCACTGTCCATCTGCTCAGCTCCCCTGCAGCCTCCAGACATACATGACTATCAATCCACACAGGTTCTGCAAGCCCAGAAATAAACAGAGGGAGAAAGTGAGGAAGATGAAGTGACTGTCAGTGCCAGTTGGGGGATCATTAACTTCAATGGTCCTTCATTTCTAGATAAACGAGTTAAGAGCTTCAGCAGTTCAGATGTATTAAGTGCTGTGATGGACTGCACAGAAAAGCAGGTTTTTTAAAGATGCTGCTTGTGTCAGAGAGTCAGGGAGTTTGGCTGCTCTGCTCATTGTCTGATTAGCCAGCATCAGCTGAGGGGGAAAATAAAACAGCTGATCTGGAGGGAAAAGGGGTCTTTTGAAGGGGCAGAACAACAGACTGCATGGCATACCAAAGAATGATCAGGCAAGAGGTGCTGTTATCAAGGTTTAACCGACAGGTTTTAAGGCTCATTAAGATGGTATCCCAGCTGAGCTATTCAAAGTCCTAAAAGATGATGCTTTTAAAGTGCTGCACTCAATATGCCACCAAATTTGGAAAACGCAACAGTGGCCACAGGATTGGAAAAAGGTAAGTTTACATTCCAGTCCTAAAGAAGGGCAATACCAAGGAATGTTTAAACTATCACACAATTGTACTCATTTCACACGCTAGCAAGGTCATGCTCAAGATTCTGCAAGCTAGGCTTTAGCAGAACTGGATAGAGAACTGCCAGAAGTACAAGCTGCGTTTCGAAGAGGTAGAGGAACTAGAGATCAAATTGCCAACATTCGCTGGATTATGGAGAAAGCAAGAGAGCACCAGAAAAACATCTACTTCTGCTTCACTGACTACGCTAAAGGCTTTGATTTTGTGGATCACAACAAACTATGGCAAATCCTTAAAGAGATGGGTGTACTACCTCACATGTCTCTTGAGAAACCTGTATAAGGGTCAAGAAGCAACAGTTAGAACCGGATATGGAACAACTGATTGGTTTAGCATAGGAAAAGGAGTACGACAAGGATGTATATTGTCACCTTGCTTATTTAATATATATGCAGAGTACATCATGCAAAATGCTGGCCTGGATGAATCACAAGCCAGAATTACTGTCTCTAAAATCGTATACAACTCTGGCAGGTCCTGCACCCTTTTCTGCATTAGAGTCCTCTTTCGTTCCAGAGGTAGCAGAGTCACTAGACTTCGTTTCTTCCTCTTTGGACTCTTCATCTGTTCCCAGCTGACGTCGCAAAAATTCTTTAGCTTTAAAGGTGGAGTCTATCTTCTCTCTCCTATCGTTGATCTTAAAGATGACACCTTCCGGGACTGCCCATCTGTAGGATATCCCATTAGTTTGAAGGAAAGAAATTAAGTCCTTATCATTTTCTCTCTTTTGTCTAATTTCAAATGGAATGTCCTTTAAAGTTTTAATGGTTACATTTCCCATTTTCAGTGGGGTTGCTGAGTGAGCTCCTGTCTCTAGTTCCAGCTCCTGCCAACCTAGCAGTTCGAAAGCAAGAAATTGCAAGTAGATAAATAGGTACCACTTCAGTGGGAAGGTAAGAGCGTTCTGTGCGCCTTGATGTTTAGTCATGCCGGCCACATGACCATGGAAACGTCTTCGGACAGCGCTGGCTCTTCGGCTTTGAAATGGAGATGAGCACCGCAACCCTAGAGTCGGATTCAACTGGCTTTCGAGCAAGGGAACCTATACCTTTACTTACTGAAAGGCAGGGAGACATCAGCAGAGTTTCAAATTTCTGTGCATCAAAGAACACTAGATATGTTGTAATTCTGGCAGCCTACTTATCACTGTTAAAGATCCTATACCACCGCAGGGCTTACTCTATGGCTAGATGGAACATACTCCTCTCTGTGGTAGTGGAGGAACGTTATAGGAAGATCCCATTAGCAGAGAGGGTTTGCCCATGTGGAGTAGGGAAGGTTGAGACAAATGAGCATATTTTGCTTCACTGCCGTTTCTACCAGGAAATCTGTGCAAAGATTATTGCACCCTTGCTTGGGAGGTTTTCTGCCTGCTCTGAATCTGAAATTACGAGGAAGTTCCTTTCAGACACAAATCCTCAGCTTACACTCCCAAGCATTTACCTAGGCTGAGAAACATAGGATTCTTGAATGTATTCACCATACAAGTCCATTAAAACTGTTGACTTTAAAAAGGGTACCTCAGTTTAGGATTGCACAGTTAAATGTACAAAATTGTTTGGAGCCCTTATCTGAAGAGTTTTATTTTCTTTCCAATGCTTTAGGTATATAAGAAGGCAATGCAAAATCTATTGCCAACACCAGCAAAATCCCATTACACATTCAATCTACGTGACTTTTCACGTGTGATTCTAGGCTGTTTGCTCGTTAAGAGGGATTCTGTTCTAAGCAAACAAACAATGATTCGTCTCTTTGTGCATGAAGTATTTCGAGTATTTTATGACCGCCTTGTGAATGACATGGATAGAGCTTGGTTGTTCAAACTAATAAAAGAAGTTGTGAAAGAACATTTCAAAGAATCATTTGATGGAGTATTTACACATCTGAGACAGTCAAATGCACCTGTAAGTTATTTCATTATTTGTTACAAAATTCTTACTGTTTATTTCAACTATACTCAGGTCACTTAATTAACTTTACTGGGAAAAGAACAAAACATTAAAATCTGTAGTTGTGCTACATGATAAGATGCAAGCTGGTTGGAGCTTATTTTATTTATTAAGACCATTTTACACTAATTTATTTATTTATTATATTTATACTCTGCCCATCCTGCGAACAGGCTCAGGGCGGCTAACAAAGCGGTACAATGCACCTGATTGGCATAACCATAAAAATTTAAAACTACATAAAACACATACTCATTCATATTACATAATTTAACAGTTAGCAATAAAGTGCTCGCAGTACTAAAGATTAGATGGCATGCTTTCCAGATCTAAATCCACATTCGTCCGATCATCATCCCTCGAGCCG